GTATTATTGTGATACTTATCAAATATCCTAGGAAATTGCCCTCTTATTTAGGAACTGAAATGCAGTGCAATTGTATTCTTCTGGCACAGTAGCATGTTGACGGAGGTAGCAATCTGCCTCCAAGAAGATGGAGATTGGATCGGCTTCCAAACTACTTTAATTTCATTGATTGGCCAATATTGGTCTTTACATTTGGTGCAATATTAGGATTCAGTGTATTTTAGAAGAGTAGGTCTACAATGATCCAATAAATTTCAGGAAGACTTTTACAAACCCTCTAGCAAATTTTCCAGACTTGTTTTTCGGGCTTGCCTTAGAACTTCAGTTCTAGGAAAGATATTTCTACCTTCCTTCATGTACAGTGGTGCCTCGCAAGACGAAATTAATCCGTTCCGGGAGAGTCTTCGTCTAGCGGTTTTTTCGTCTTGCGAAGCAAGCCCATTGACGGATTAGCGCTATTAGCGCTATTAGCGGTTTAGCGGCTATTAAAGGCTTAAAGGCTTAGGGGATTAGCTGCTAAAAGGCTATTAAAGGCTATTAAAGGCTTAGCAGATTAGATAAAGGGGGGGGGGGGGAAAGCGAAAAAAAAATCTCAGGACTCGCAAGGTATTTTCGTCTTGCAAAGCAAGCCCATAGGGGAATTCGTCCTGCGAAGCAACTTCAAAACGGAAAACCCTTTCGTCTAGCGGTTTTTCCGTCTTGCGAGGCATTCATCTTGCGGGGCACCACTGTACTTTGCATGGAGAATTTCCCAGGTTCAGTTTCCAGGTAGGACTAGGGAAGACCCCTGCCTGAAACCCTGAAGGATTGCTGCATATTAGCATAGACAATACTGAAACAGATGAGCCAATAACTGTGCATGTGACTATATGCAAACTTGTCCTATGTCCATATAGATAGTTGTCTAGGACTTAGATTCTAAATTCTAAAATACTTGGATTTGTTTGCTTCAGGTACAATAATCCTGATAGCTTACTTACTGTTTAAAAATGAATGTGTATTGAGAGTGCATTAGTGGCAGATTTGGTGGGACGCGGGTGGCGCTGTGGGTTAAACCACAGAGCCTAGGACTTGCCGATCAGAAGGTTGGTGGTTCGAATAACCACGATGGGGTGAGCTCCCATTGCTCGGTCCCTGCTCCTGCCAACCTAGCAGTTCAAAAGCATGTCAAAGTGCAAGTAGATAAATAGGTACCGCTCCAGCGGAAAGGTAAATGGTGTTTCCGTGTGCTGCTCTGGTTCTCCAGAAGCGACTTAGTCATGCTGACCATATGATCCAGAAGCTGTACGCCGGCTCCCTTGGCCAATAAAGCGAGATGAGCGCCGCAACCCCAGAGTCGGCCACGACTGGACCTAATGGTCAGGGTCCCCTTTACCTTTACCAAGGTGGGGTGGGGTGGGGTGGCAGGTTGGGATTGTGTAGGCGCACCAGTGGAGCCAATCTGATGCTTCTGCTGGTGCAACTGCACAACCTTGACATCACAACCACCCTGTTTCACCCCCATTCAGATACCTTGCATTGATACTGGTGTCGGAAGGGCAGGGCCACCTTCCCTTCCCCAGATGCTGCTGGTAAAGTATATGAAAAATCCAGAGGCCAGATGTAATGTGCTAAATTTAACCCATATACAATAGACTATTGCAGTTCCTTTCTGTTTTTGGGTAATAAATGAGATCGTCCATAACACACTTAACTGCAAAACCTGTGCCAGCCTTTCATTTCTATGTCATAGAGGAAGATATGGAGTAAGAGGGTTCTTGAAACATACATATACAAAGGTCTGGAGAGATAATGCCATACATATAACTATATAGCTTATTTCTCACTCACGGACTTCTTCCCTGCCACAAGCATATCATTTATTTTCATAAGATGTCTGGTTGAGGCAGGTAGGAATTAATAGGAATTTCAGCTGTTTTTGAAAGGATCACACTATTTCAACAAAGATGATTCCTAGTGAGTTCTTCTTAATCCTGAAGACTTCACAGGCTTCGCTGGTTCCTTGGCTGTTACTATCTTTATGAGCCAGGGTGGATGTTGGTGCTGAACTGTAGCAATAAATGACAAATAGCAGAGCAAATTAATACATATCTGTCTCCATCAATCAGAAACATGTGAGAACTTCTTTCCTGAAATTCAGTGGGAAAGGGGACAGAACCTTGAAAAGGAACCATGCTGCTTTTTATGTACAAAGAAATGACTATGAAGATTCTCACCCATACACTGCTGGCAGGTGTTAGGAAGTTGTGGTGTTCCTCTTCTGGGCTCCATGGAGAGGGGGACTCCAGTGTTGTGGAGAACCCCAGTGCAGCCGCTGAAAGCACAGGCCAGTGCACACTCCCCTCAGTGGTGGTCCCACCAGCAATAGCTCTTGTAAGGTTGGAAAAAGGATCGTTACAGAGGTTGGGTAGAGCACAGCAGGACAGGCAATGGATCTGCTGGATTCAAAACCAACCCAAGGGAGCTGATTTGATTGCATGTGCTGCATGACACGCCATCCCAGACCCAGTTAGGATTGCTCTCTTACCCTAGGTACACATACAATAAGAGGCTGCAGTCCTAAACATTTGTACTAGGAAGTAAGTCCCACTTACTCCTGTGTAGCTAACATTGTTAGCTATCCTAATATAACTCCACTGTTGAATCTGTGTGAGTAGCACTTTTATTTATCTGGCCTGTAGTCACTTTGGTGCCGCTAATGCAGCGGTTTGACTTCACCCTCGGAGGGGCACTCCATTGTCTCTCGAGACAGACAGATGCCAACAATAGATTATCTGGATCTATTGGATGTTCCCCAAGCCATTCAGATACCTGAGAATTTACTCGGTTTGAGTTACATATTTGTTTCCATAAATATGACACTCGCTCTATGCAGTGATTTCATAATGAGCCCTGGAAAAATACACCATGCTTTCATGTGCAATGCCTTGCTAATGGGGAAAAATAGGCATCTGGTATCTGTAGATTCTTTCCCTCCATCATTGCTACATTTCTTTGGACAGCTCTCTCTCTCGCTCGCTCCCATTCTCTTTGGCAATCTAGGGGTGAAACTTTTCGTTCCAGGAAAACTTCTTGTATGGTTCTACAGCAGCATGATTGGTCTCCTGCGTAATTTTGGAGCTTCCCTCTTTAAAGACTTCCTTTCTCCCTCTCTGTACTTGTTCCATTCCCTTTATTGTCTTTCTCCATCTCCTACGTTATAGTTTTGAATTTCAACTTTTTTAAGGTTTTGGAAGCATTTCCTTAAATTTTCATTCATTTTGAGGGTTTTCTAGGTCCGTTTCGGCCCCTTAACCACTTTAATTCTGAAACAGTCACCAAACATATTAGTTCATGTTGCATTGTATGTACACATATTGTTTATATTGCAAATTGTAAGACAAAACCGGGCGGGGGGGTAATTTTGCACAACAGATGTTTCAAAACTTTTGCAGCTGGGTCATTATTACTTTAGTTTGGAAAATGAAGGGTGTAGGTCAACTTGGGATTGTGTGTGTGTTTATATCTAAATGCTCCAGATGTAAGCTTCCTTGGATTTTTAGAAAAATAAGTCTAGAAACATTTTAAATAAATAAAAAGGATGTTCTAAAAATAGTAGAATTTTATACTTGCATGGCTGAACTAGTTTTCTCCTGGCATTTTAAATGCAAGGCAAAATGCAGGTCATAACCAATTTCCACAAGTGTTTTGATTTTCGCCTCAAGAATAGAGATGGGTTGCATACTTTTTATGACAACTTTAGAAAGAACCAAGTAAATTGCTTGCCTCATAATCCTTAAAGTGCAGCAACATAGCTAGCAGGACCAGGCATGAAAGGCTTACAGAAAGAATATTTTGATTCGGAGATATGAATGATCGCTGCTAGCAATGCCTAGTCAGAGTGGAGTTTCACAGTGTGTGTTTACTGTAACTCCTCTACAAGTGCTAATAGTACTTGAAAAAGTGAGATAAATTTTGCATTGCTCTGTAAAATCATCCTAGTCAGGGAAAGCACTTATATCCAATTTTTGAAATGTAACTCTCAGCATGCTGTTTTCTATCAAACTGTGATATTGGGTGATAACAAAAGTTTCTTTATGTTGCACATGCTTATTTTTTTGTTTGTTCTTGAATTTAAATGACCCAGAATCTGCTGAATAGTTAGTTTATTTTCATGACACGTCTTGCAGTAAGGATTCAACCATTTCCAATAGTTATCCAATTTTTTTGGTCCGCTGTTTTAAATTGATGTATTTAGTATTTTTCAAGAGTGACAGTGAAATGTTAACTATCATTTAACTTACATTTCTTTAGAAGGGAGCCTTCCTGTAACAAGATTACGGTAGAATTTAGGTGCCTGTTCCACTTGTTGGAGTTCCTAGGCTGTCAGACTAGTTAAGATGGAAGGTGCCTACAGAGAAGACTTTAATGAAAGCCAACTGCTTCTGTGGGCCCAATTAAGACTACCCAACTGTAAAGCACAGCCCTCTGGGTAGAGTTGGATTGCCCAATTTGGGAGCGGGGGGGGGGAGCAAAGGGAATACCTAGTGTCATGGTTAAAAGGGAATTGTCTTAATGTTCAAGGGTTCTACCTAATCCCCTAAATTTTAAGTATGTATTATTAATAAGGTTAGCACTGATGTCCCTCAGTGCAGGTTTACATATGCACCACTGCCTGAACTTGAAGCCCCGGTAACAGTTCTTGAGGTATGGATGTGCTCTTGGTCCCAAATCAATCTTGTCATTCCTCAGAAAGCAATGAAAGATAATAAGTACTATTCACCTGATTGCCTTCCTGCTCTGAGACAGCTGGTGACGCTTGTCTTCCTGATAACCAGGACTTTCAGATCTAAGGCAGGGATAAAGAAAAGCCGGGAGCTTGCTGAATCTAAATTTGACAGTCGATGGCAGTGTAGAGGGGTCAGGAGGGATAGAATCTCTGACACGTATAAGAAAGGAACAAAATTTATCTGCTCTGGTTGCAATGATTAGATGTCTCGTTGTCTGGCTTTCTTATAGTGGATGATTGATCGTGCCCGCCAGCTGCCTAATATCATAATTAACAAAGTTGCTACCGTGTCTGAGAAGTTTAATCGAAAAAAATTGCCAGCAGTATGATGCCATTGTCGCCCACAAAGATCACAAGCGTGGCAGAGTCGACTTTTGGACTAATGGAGCTGCAGAACTATGTGGCTGGAATGAGAAGCACTGCACCTGAATGGCTAATGGTATGTCTGTTTTTTCACAATTGCATTTCCGCTCTTCATTTTCCTTTTGTGCAGTCTAAGAAAGCATGGATTTTCATTTCAGGATGTCATGGGGTACCTACATTAATATTTGATGTTTCTTTATCTTTGTTTATTATCTGCATAACAAGTTTTAAATATCTTGCCTTTGTTAATTATTGTGCCAAACATTATTTAAATCAGCTGTGAATGTGGTAATTGCTGCTATGGTTTAGTGTCTCCCCCCCCTTTTTCTAGCTGCTAATAGGTTCTCTAAGGTTTTTCCTCTTTTTCCCTGCATATATCTTTAAATGTATGATGCATAGCCTAGACCTCCTGGTATTAGGAATGTTGTTAAAATATACACGTTTATGTATCTCCTTATGCATATAGAGGTAACAACAATACATGGTTAACAATCTTGACTCCAAATACCTCAAACCGTTTAAGAAATAATCACATATCACAGTTCTTTATTTGAAATATTTATGTGTTTTATGGGTAAAAAATTGCTTTGCAGATCTCTTTCTTCTTTGCAGTTGTATTTTCTTCCCTCTTTGTGAGCGGTATTTGCTCACATAGTTGTCCCCAGAGTACATGTTGCTATTGCCAAGCTAACATATGACTCTGAATATTGACATTGATGGTTCTGTGTATGCGCCCTGCAAAACAAAACAATAACAAAAAACAAAGAAAGAAAGAGAAATAATGGGAAATTATTGAAAAATAAAGACAAAGGAAACACTACTGGATTTATGAAACAGGACATGAAAACTTGAAATAAGAAAACATTGTATATAAAGCCTGCATACTTTACCACTATTTTCATTTAATAAAGCCCATGGCATAAAAGGGGATATTTTCTTGGCTTGTTGAGAATTATAGAAGAAATTGTACATTTTAATAAAATTTGAAAATAGTTTCTACTGCAGCTTAAGTGAATATGCAGTAGCTATTGTGGTGGGTTGTCATTCTGATCACAGAAATATCTCTGAAAATATTCTATTTCACACTGAGCTCCCCCCCACCCCCACCCCCCGTTACAGTATGTCTGTCATTTGCAGATTGTAAACTATATTAAAACATTATTGATCCCATTGTATATTCCCTAAGACTTTTAAGGATGATTCAGTAAGTATTTCATATTGGTAATTTATACTGTCTGGTCAAATTTAGTGATGATTTATTTTTTAATTCCTAGAAGAAGAAAAACAGCAGTGGCGGCTGATATTCTTCCTTTACTCAGGATATTGTTCTGAACTGAAATACTATTTCTTGATCTGAAATGTGCTTTCCACATCATCAGTTATAGGTAAAAATGTTAACCTTGCCTGGCATTTTTATTGTTCACCATTGGTTTTTAAAAATTCAATAGTTTTCTTAGAAACAAAGAATGGTGTAAATATAGAAGTAAAAAAACCAGATTAGTGATGCAAATTTCATACAGAAGGAAAGATTATGCTACTAGAACAAGTATATTGTTGTTTTAATCAGCACTCCCATAATAATTCATGTAATTGAGACTTAGGGCATTGTTAGAACTCAGCTGGAGAACCAAATGTCTATATGGATTACAGGAGGAAATGCTAAAGCAATGTCACAGCAGATGTGTCTGGCTTTTAACAGGATTAATTCCTGGGATATGTAGCAATGAACTGCTTGTAATAGTTTCAGAGGAACTAATAATTTTGAGAAATATGTTAATAGCAAATGTGCTAATATAAAGGGCTAGAAGATTAGCGATGCATTCTTTTGCACTGAAATAAGAATATAATAAATGTCTCCCAGGTGACTCAGGCTACAGCAATTTTTATTGGAGATTAAAGCTTGATGGACCTTTGCTCGGGTGATTAACCCTTCAGAAATTAAAACCTAGTGCTAAAGTATTCAGTCCAATTTAAATGCAAACAGAGAGAAAAAGGTTATCATTCAAGTTTTTAAAAACCTTTTAATTTTCTTTTTTCCTCCTCCTCTATGTCATTGAGAAGATAGGCTAGTAAAAAGGAACATGATTTAGTTTGGACAAAGCTGTTCAAATGGCAAAATCGCTTTCCAGAATCCAGAGAAGAATAGTCTTCAAAGGAATTTCAGAAGTAAGCTTGAGCCTGAGGTGAGACAGGTAGGACAGTAAACATTATCTGTTTAATATCTCTTAATATCAAGTTTAATTAGACTGTGTTCTTGCAAGTTGATTAACACTGGTAATTAATTTGTTAATGTTGCAGCCTAGCACAGAAAATGTTTCAAGAGTTTAACTTGTACGAAGTGTGAAAGTCTGCTTTTAAAGCTGACAAACTATTATGGAACATGTTGAGTCCATTAATTTACAGAGGCCTAAAAATAACTACACACTTTTCCAGGTTAAGGAAAAGGATTTTAGGATAGTTTTATAATAACTATCTTTTGGAATAACTTTTGGAATAGTCCTTGCTAGCAGTCATACACCACTGGTGATATTCAGTTGGATTAAACAGAATAGATCCATTGGATTCAATAGGTTTACGTATCTTTGAACTAATGTTTGTAATCACTTGTGTTATCTTTCTGTGAGATTCTGCATAGGTTATACAATGGCATTGACAATATGGCATTACTGCATTCTAATTGAACTCGTGCAATATTTTGGAATTCCTAGCTTCATTCCATATGAAATTGAAGTTTCTTTGCAATATTTATGTTCAATGTATTTATTTATTTGTTAGCTTGTTTATTATATTTGCAGGCATCAGCTTTCGTTTCTTCTCATAAACTTTCATGAGTCATTTTGGGATTTTGATTTAGCACTTCCCACGGATTAAAGAAAAAATCATAAAATGGCATGGAAAGGAAATATGGAATATTCACTTCACTAATGTCCAAAATGTTGATGAAATGCCATAATTTCAAATTCATTATAAAATCTTTATTTTTTTGAAAAAATAAACTAAAAGCAGAGTGAAAAATAGGCTCATTCTGTAATAGAAAGCAGTGGTTTAAGAGTATGGTAATAAAACACAGATTTGGGGTACATATGTTTTAAGCATTATAATGCAGAATTTGACTGCTGAATCCCTTCTGGTATTATTATTATTATTATTATTATTATTATTATTCTCAGTTCACCTGCTATTACATAGGAAAAAACAAGATGAATTGAGGCTGCTATCCTATATTTACTTACCACACAGCGGCTCTAGACATGCATACAATTGTGCTGTATGCTAGTAATTCTCAAACTGGTTTTTGTGTGTGCTTCCTTGAAGCATGTTTCTTCACATCCTCCTATATTCCATACTGACACCTCAAGAATCTTGCTAGCATCATTTTACATATGGATCTGCCACATTGCACCTGACCAGCAGGATAGTATAGAGGAGGCACCTTTTCATGGTTCTCCTTGGGACTTGGCTATACAGCTGCAAATAAAACGTTTTAAGTGTGCTTTAAGTGCAATATACAATATGACACTAGATGGCGATGGTGAGTCTTATGGAAAATTCGCTGTATTTTTTTAAAAAAAACTTGTCCAAAAAAAAGAGCATTTTCAGAACGGTTTTTATATGTGTGTAGATTCCTCCCAAATTAACTCTTTTTTCATCCTGCAGCTAGTGTGGTGAATCTAGTCTGCAGGTGTTAGTGTGTATACATAAGACAGGATGCAAAGCTCCTCAACTAATTTGCATGCAAAACAAGCAGACAAAAACTCACTACTAGTCTCTCCAGTGTGGGCTAGCAAAAATTTTCTTGAGGCTTTTCAGAGGCACTACTGCGCCTTTAACTAGAAACTTCCTCATTGGAGTGTCTGACACAAACTGCTTCCTGTTCATTGTGGCATAGCATAGCGGGTTAACTAGTTCTTCACCAACAATGGGAGTTTTAAATTGCAGGTTTCTTTTCATTTCTTTAATTTTCTTTCATTTCTTTTTGACTGTGAATAGTGTCATTTTACTTTTTTTTTTAAAAAAAGGGGAAGCTTGCGGAATTGTACAATTATGGGGAAATTAAGAGGCAATTCATCACTAAAGTCACAAAAGGCAGCTTCTAATTAAAATGCCAGGTGAAGTTTGTTGAGTAGCGCTTACTCTAATAATAATAATAATAATAATAATAATACTCCACCTGTCTGTCTGGGTTTCCCCAGCCACTCTGGGTGGCTTACAGCAGATATAAAACATAGTAAAATATTAAACATTAAACGGATGCAGACCATGGTGATGCCTATTTCCAGAAACTATAGCACCAATGTAGGAGTTAGGTAAGGGATGCGGGTGGCGCTGTGGGTTAAACCACAGAGCCTAGGGCTTGCTGATCAGAAGGTTGGCGGTTCGAATCCCCGTCACGCTCCCGTTGCTCGGTCCCTGCTCCTGCCAACCAAGCAGTTCGAAAGCACGTCAAAGTGCAAGTAGATAAATAGGCGGGAAGGTAAACAGCGTTTCCGTGCGCTGCTCTGGTTCGCCAGAAGCGGCTTAGTCATGCTGGCCACATGACCTGGAAGCTGTACGCCGGCTCCCTCGGCCAATAAAGCGAGATGAGCGCCGCAACCCCAGAGTCGGTCACAACTGGACCTAATGGTCAGGGGTCCCTTTACCTTTAGGAATTAGATGGAGCCACCATTTTAGTTCTGCTTCTACAAATGATTGCAGAAAAGCAAAGTGTCAGCAGTGTTAAGGGCTCCAGTATGGAATAGGTCTAGGTGACAAACCTACTACAGTACCTGAAATCTAATTTTCTCTATTTACAGATTATTATTATTTTTAACAGGAGAAAATGTGTAACAATGCATGAGTTTGTGAGGGGCTTCCACAACTTCCAAATGAAGGCAGGGAATTAAATGCTGCTCTTGCAGTAAAAAGGCCCTGTGGCCATAGAGCAGAAGATGCAAATTTTGTTTTTAATTTGTAAGGGGCCTTCTCACACCCTTAGGTTAGGTCAGAGTGGATTTGTAGCTATGACCAGGGTGTGGGGGTGGAATTTGGGGAGGATACAGTTGGGACTGGTGGAATGCAATCTCCTATATGAGACGGGGGCCTCAGCCAGGGTTGAGAAACACCGGCTTATATCCTCCAGTATACCTGTACAATTAATAAGCCTTTTGTTGAATAGCAAATGGAAAGAAGCTTATGTCCTTTATATATGAGAGTGCAAAGTTAAGAATCTGCTTCATTTTCTATCCTGCTGGCTCACAAAGGTTAGAAACAGCACTGGTGAGCCAAGTTAAATTCTGGTGTTACATTCACTGCATAGTTAAGAGTTCCTATCTTTTAAAATTATGTATGTTATTAAAATTGTAATAAATATGCAATCTCCTGTCCTATTCAATTTATTTCTCTCTTTCATCAAAGATGAGTTCCCACTGACTCTGTGAAGATAGTGAAGTCCTAGGCATTGTAGTGGAGAAATTAAGGAGCCTGAGGCAGCAGCAACATCCTACCTAGCCCTTTCATTTACACTTAAAACACCCTCCAGGGAGGGGGGGAAACCTTTTTATGGGACCCCATGAAAAAAAGTGAAAATGATGAAAACTAAACTTGGTGTGGAGTTCGTTCAGTTGGATAACCTTGAAAAGAAAAAAAAGGAAAGGAAAAGTAAATCCTTTCAGGACACAAAACATACACACTTTGAGACCTAGATTAACCCCAGTGTTTGAACTAAGCAATCCACATGCTTAAGAGACCTTTAATGGTCTATTAACTATATTCTGCTCAACATTATAACCATTCTATTATCCTTTTGGATTTTTATATAAATTACTAATTGCTACCTGCCAGCTTTGCCTCTCTGCTTTTCAATTTACCATGTAAACTCCCTTAATATATGTTGAAATGTTTGCATAAACTAAAATAATACACCTGTTCTGTCAAATGCCTCAGACAATCACATTTAGATTAGAGGCTTGCAAAAACATGCATTTAAAACTTGACAATGCATGTACAGAATTTAACCACGTATAACATAGCATTCCAAGCTGTTTATTCAACTATAATTTATTTTACTATGAAGGAACCATTTGGCTTTGCTAATGGTGTATATATCTAGTATTAATGCATCTTCTCTTGAACGTTGCCATTATTTCCACATTTTAAACTGAAGAAAGAGATGAAACAGTAAATACTGAATAGATATATATATAGATATATCTCATGCTTTCTACATGTGTATGAAATTTTCTGCCTAGCTGCCAGTTTATCACCTCATTTAAAAACTATACTGAAGTTCTTAAATAATTATAAATTATTGCTAATTAGGATATATACATATTCATGACTTACAACAGGGGCATAAAACCCCCCAAATCAAATGACTTGGAGGGTCAAAGTGTGCCCCTGTAAAGGCCCAAGGGCTGCAACCATAAGATTTCACACACAGTCTATTTCCCTTCAGTTTGATGGGTACAATTTGGCAATTGTGAGGTTCACAAGCTGCTACAAGTGTTTCACTTCTAGAGTTCCAGGCAAGGAAATACTGGAAGGGCATGGCAATAAAAAGGCTTTGCAAGATCGTTACCTGTCAAAGTCCACCTCCTGATAGCTGGCTTCTTTCCTCATCAATATGAAGAACATTGGCTTGCTTTGGAACCTGAGGCCCATGAACTGGTTTAAAGGGCAAGCTGGGTCTATTTCAGTACTTCTGAACAAAAAATATAAAAAGAGCCTTGAGTCCCAAAGCTTAGCGAACCCAATCTCCTGTTTCTCACAGTGGCCAGCCAGGTTTTTTGTGGGACGTCCACAAGGATGATATGTTGACAACAGCCTTCTCTTGCTCCTGTAATTGGCCCCTATTCATAGACACACCTTCGCTGATCATAGATGTAGCAGGTAGCTATCATGACTGGTAACCATTGATATCTTCCATGAATGTACTTGCCTACACTCCCTTTAAAAACTACCTAAGATAGTGGCCTGAAAGTGGCGTGAGGTAGACCAAACCTGGAAAAGACATAGGAAAAATAAAGTTTTGGAAGAGGATCAATTGCCCAAGTCCATATCCTGAAGTCTGCCTTTTTTCTTCTTCAGTGTGAGGAATACTGGTTTGCTGTGCAATTGCCTCAAGTCCTGATTCAAGGGACAAGTATAAAGCAACAGAAAAGATATCAGAGCAATTTACAACAATTATATAGGCAATATAAAGAACATCAGAACTAAAAACACAGTTCACTAACTATTTCAGCAAGACTGTGGAAGAATTCAGTAGCCTATCTGTTTGTACGCAAACCTTGTATGGCTTCTTTGCCCTAAAAAACACTGGATCCTTAGGGATCCTTATGGCACATCATGGGGTGCAAAATGTATTGACAGAGACCCCAGAGAACAAAATAAATTAGCAGAGTCTTTTGCTTGAAGCCCCTTGCTTATGGAAATATACCAGCAAAGTACCAGCAAAGATTGTGCATGTGCATATTAAGGAGTTCTGACTGGCATTCTAGGGTGACCAGGCCCCTGTGCCTTAAATAGTTATGCAGCAGAAGAAATGTAAACAGGATAATCATCTGAGTTGGTATGCAACTAAGTTTTACTCAGATAGACCCATCAAAATTAAACTACCTACCCTTACTTTTATTTGTTTACACAATTTATATATTGCTACAATAGTTTCCAAGCAATATCTAAACAGCATTCTGTTCATTAATTTCAATGGGTCTCCTCTGAGTAAAACTTTGTTGAATGCCATGCATTGTTTGGTGGTGCTGCAGGACTGAACATGAGGAAACCTCTCAATTTTCAGAGATGAATTCTCTAGTTATAATCTGTCAGCCAACTGATTATGAATTAAACTACTTGGCTAGAAACGATTTTGATTGCAAGTGCTGTAACTTTATAATTTATAGGTTTCATATGGCAAATGCTAGTAATATGGCAAATGCTAATAAACGCTCATATGTAGGATTTGATTTTATAAGGGTAATACATGTTCCACAGCACTGCTACTTCTAGATAAGAAATTGTGTGTACCTCACATGTACATTGTCACATAATGTTCATGTGGAGGAGCCCCGCAGGTGGCAGGCTTCCCATCACAGTTATGCACAAAAAAACCAGACACATCTGTGTTCAACACATAAGACTTTGAACATGCAGATAGAGGTTTCTCTTTCTTTCTCTCCCCTCATAAAATAAACTTTCAGATATGATTGTGGCTGGAATATTTAAGCATCTCAGTCAGAAGACCTTTTTTTAAACCCAACTAGCTTTAATTTGATTTCTTTAGATACAGTACTTAGCTTTCCTTAAAACATGGCATAGTAGTAAATTAATGGTTTGCTGACCATTTTATACAGTGCTGTGATGTGAATGATCTTTGGTCTACTCAGTAGACAGGGCAACAGTTATCCTGTTGTTGTTGTTTTTGTTGCTGCAGTTAAACAGCTATTCTGACATTTAAATGGTTTATTAACTCAAGTGAGTTCAAAGTGAATTCTGGCAATTTAAGAACTTTTTCCTCACCTCTTTTTGTGCAAGAGATGAGGCCCCTTCACAAGTATGCATGCAGTGCCACTAGGAACAAAGGTTTCAAAATTCTTGCTGCATCACTTGGATGCCAATTTCTGCTTTCGGCTGTCACTCCCTGCCCATTAATGGTGCAGCCTGAAGCATCTCACTTCACCCTTCTACATCAATGGGCTAGCTATATACACATGTGTAGTAGCTGCTTTCCCTATTTGTGCAACACTGAAGCCTCGTGATTGGATTGGAAAGACCCATGTGATTATTCACGGCCACAACTTCCTCTATCCACAAGTGTATTCACATTCACCCCAAGGAAGCACCTGTCTCCACAGCTGAGGTGTCTTCATTTGCATGGATATATGTAGGTAAAAGAAGTTCAAAATTCAACGCAGGCACAAGAAAATAGCAGAAAGGACCTGAGACAGTGGAGGAGGCTGCAATACCTTGTAATTCTTTGGTGTGTAGAGAAAGGTTGTCTGTTCAGATAACAACCCTGAATCAACCATCTGTCAAACCTTTTAGAATACACACAATAACACAAATGTGTAAAGGAGGATACTGTATTCCATAAATATTCTGTTTCACTGGTTTCAATTAGTTTCACACTGACTGTTCCAGAAAATGAATAATAGTAGCATGCATGCATATATATATATATATGAATGATTTGTTGTTTGCTTGTGAAAAGATAACACATTATTTTAGAAAAAAATCAGTGTTGGGTTATATTGGTTTGTTTTGAGAACATGAATTTGCCATGGGTAGGTAGACTGATAGATTTATTTTAGACATCTGTAAAAAACACATCAATAATACCCTTTGTAAAGTTTTCCCATGGAATTCCTGCTGCAACATGACAAAGGCATTTGTTAACGAGAATTGCATGGCTTTTTTCATTCCACCCCCACCCACTGTGGCCCTTTTTTGGGAAAGGAGGACACAAATTTAGTCACGGTGCAATTTGTTAAAAAACCTACATGTAATGATAAAAACGTCATTGCTAGAAGTTCAGTGAATGGTTAAAGGCCACGATCCAGAGCGTGCGTTTTGCATCTGCCAAGCTCTTGTTTGCTTCCCTCCTTTCTCCTTCCCACACCCCACCATGCTGCAGTTTTGTCTCTGGATAAGCATCTATGGTTTAATGGAAAATTATATTTGGCATCATGTGGTTGCCTATGTAGTTTCATTAGCAAATAAAACAGGAGAATTTTAATGAGATGCACTGATATCAAAGTGTTTGCTGCTTAGCCACATTAGATATATGATTTGCTGTCATGATAATGAGTTGCATATTAACTTTGTTTTATTGACTTTATAATGATGTATGACTGTGGCGAGGATGACAGATAGCGCACAGGATTGTTGTGGAGGTAAACAAAATCGATTTGTAAAGCACTTTGTAATGTAAAATATGCTATAGAAATATAGAATTGCATCCAGACTGAAATCAGTGGAATTTAAGATAGTCATGACTAACTTAAGTCCCATCTATTTCAGTGGGTCTACTCTGCCTAAGTCCTCAAACCAGAGTGGTTAATTTGTGACCATCAGAATGCCATTGGACTTGAACTCCCATCATTCATGACCATGGAGCATGCAGGCTAGGACTAATGGGAGTTGGAATCTGACACCTGGTGGTCACAAGTTACGTAGCTGCCCCTGCCTGTTTTCAACACATTACAGTGGTACCTCGGGTTACATACGCTTCAGGTTACAGACTCCTCTAAACAAGAAATAGTGCTTCAGGTTAAGAACTTTGCTTCAGGATGAGAACAGAAATCGTGCTCCGGCGGCACAGCAGCAGCAGGAGGCCCCATTAGCTAAAGTGGTGTTTCAAGTTAAGAACAGTTTCAGGTTAAGAATGGACCTCCGGAACGAATTAAGTACTTAACCCGAGGTACCACTGTACTCTTGAAGTTGCTCTATTGTAAAAAGGGAAAGGGAACCCTGAGCATTAGGTCCAGTCATGGCCGACTCTGGGGTTGCGGCACTCATCTCGCTTTATTGGCCAAGGGAGCCGCATACAGCTTCCGGGTCATGTGGCCAGCATGACTAAGCCGCTTCTGGCCAACCAGAGCAGCACACGGAAACGCCGTTTACCTTCCCGCCAGAGCGGTACCTATTTATCTACTTGCACTTTGACGTGCTTTCGAACTGCTAGGTTGGCAGGAGCAGGGACTAAGCAACGGGAGCTCACCCCATCGCGGGGATTCGAATCGCCAACCTTCTGATTGGCAAGTCCTAGGCTCTGTGGTTTAACCCACAGCGCCACCCGTGTCCCTTGCTCTACTGTACTACCCTATTAATAAAAAGTGGCTCTTTAATAGATCTTGCTTTGCTGTTTTCTTCTTCAAAAATAAAATAGGTCTATAGTCTCCTTGGCTGAAATAGAATAGGGCAGATTGCAGCAATAATAAATTTCTTCGATGGGCTTACAAATGAATGACCTGATCTTGTTGCCTCTTAATCAACCATGCGATGCACTCATAAGATAAAGGCGCTGCTTTTATCTCTGACAGAAACTGCAGAGTGTAGTATAGTCAAATTAGGACTGCAGAAAGCCAGGTTCAAATCTCCGCTCCAACATGAAGCTTCCTGAGTGACCTTGTGTCAGTTTTCATACCTAACTTATTGCATAGAGTTGTCTGAGAAGTGGGTAGCCACGTATACCACTCTGAGCTCCCTGGACGAAGGGGTGGGGAAAAACATAAAAAATAATGTAGCACTGATGGCTGGACAGTGGCATAATGATACAGCATGCACGGCTATTGCATATTGTTTGTGGGGATGGGTAAGAGATTCAGGAGAGGCAGGGTCGCAGGCAGCTCTGCTATTTGTATAGTGAAATAGGGATAGATGAATCTATTTCAGTTTCATGTCAGTTTTCTTTTTTTAAAAAAATAATATTTATTACTTTTCCAACAATTTCAACACTACAAAATAAATAAATAAATAAATAAATAATACAATACAATACAATACAATACAATACAATACAATACATAACACTAACAGATTAAACTAACAAAACAAAACAAAAACAGTTAAACACATCAAACAATTTCAATATCTTATCTTTCATTCACTTATTTCCACAACCTCCTCACACCTCCCTTTTTGTATTCCACTTCTGTTAATTGTTTCAGCAATTCCTTTCCATCTTCCTCTGTTTTCTATCCTATAATTGTCTTAACACATTCTAACCTTATTTTTCCCTTTAATTCTCTATTAATCTATTTATACTTAATTCCTTATAACATTTCTACTAAAGCCATATAACTTCATTCCAACATTTTTCTAACATTCATTAATTTTACAGTATTTCTGTAAATAGTCTTTAAACTTTTTCCAGTCTTCTTCTACCGACTCTTCTCCCTGGTCTCGGATTCTGCCAGTCATTTCCGCCAGTTCCATATAGTCCATCATCTTCATCTGCCATTCTTCCCGGGTGGGTAAATCTTGTGTCTTCCAATACTTTGCGATGAGTATTCTTGCTGCTGTTGTTGCATACATAAAAAAAGTTCTATCCTTCTTTGGCACCAACTGGCCGACCATGCCCAGGAGAAAGGCCTCTGGTTTCTTCAGGAAGGTATATTTGAATACCTTTTTCATTTCGTTATAAATCATCTCCCAGAATGTCTTAATCCTTGGGCATGTCCACCAAAGGTGAAAGAATGTACCTTCAGTCTCATTACATTTCCAACATTTATTGTCGGGCCAGTTTCATGTCAGTTTTCCGTGAGGTTAAGCATTATTCCATTCTCTCCTGTTTTATGCAGATTAAAAGAAAGAATTCATGAAAAATAGCATTTAAAGTGTATGCAGTTCTCTCCCTGATATACCAGTTTAGTAGGCTCTTTCTCCTAAAATATACATTTTCTGCTTTTCTATGCATTATTCCCTAAAATATGTATGTTGTGTGCGTTTCCCCCACAAAATGAGTATTTTTCTATTTGTTTTTGAACCAATACTACATCAAAACATTGGGAGATGTTCCATCCTGATCCACGTATAAATTTAGGAGCTGTGAATTGTGTTTTAAAATGTATTCCTACATCATAGTGGCTGCCTCCAGTCTACCTCTCCTAAACACTGTCACCTTTTGGATAACTATAGTCTAGTAAAGGACCAACATAGGAGGCATTTCTCCTGTGTTCCATTGCTCCCTTCCTGTTCTGCTCCTTGTGAGTTTGGACTGGGGAAAGAGTGGGGAGGGGGGGACTTGGTTTTTCAAGCTCAAAGGGAGTCACCATGAAGTCCTGTCCCCAATCTACATGACCTTGTGCTACGGCATCAGATTCAGTGGGCTCTTGCAAGCCACACAATGGTTCCTTGATCACTGATGGAAAACCCATCTGGCTCCTTAGCTAGTGACAATCCAAATAAATGTTGTGACCACTGTTGGATTCCATGGTCATGACAACTCCAACTCTAAGACATGTCCCTTTTTTCTTCAATAGTCTTTAATCCTTAATGATATGAATTGTTCTTTGTTCTTATTTTGGAGCTACAGCTGTTCCCTGCACTGCAGAGTTACACTCAATATAAATCTCAGTGTTCTTCTTTACGTTTCCCCAAAGGGTTTCCTTCATTTCGTCCCATGTACTTTTAAGTGGACTAAGGATAGAAAACTTAAGCAGAAACTTTTAAAATACTGAAACATGTTTATATTCATGCAAATAATCAGTGCTTGGTGAATAGTATTTTTATTTTATTTTTGCAAAATTGCCATAGTAAATTTTACCAGCAAAGTCCAAGTTGATATCTGTTTGTAGATACATTAACCTTGAATGTTCTTTAGTGGGAATCCATCCAAAAATATTGAGGGGGTCTAATTATATTTATATGCATACAGTTTCTGAAAATACAGGTCAATTAATTGCTGAGATTTAATTTAGATATTTTTCACTGAGTCTGCAATTCATGTTCATTTTGGCTAAATTACCCTTGTTTCTTCATCGTATTTGCAAAAAAAGGAAAGAAAAGACTTCTGCTTATTGAACTATTACTACAGGATCCAGCTTCCCCCCTAAATTACACACTTTTTGCATAAATGTGCCTAATTACCTGAATTCAGTTTTGATTAGCAGTGTTAATTGATGCAGCTGTGGATGGGATCTGTTTACCTAAATTACCATGTGCAAACAGCAATACGTCTGAAAGTGAATATGCTGAACTGAAAATACTAATTAGCTGAGACAGATTGTTATTCAAGTCACATCTCAGGGCCTTTTTAATGAAAGCCTGGATATGTCAGGGCTTTATGATATGCAGACAGAAATCTCTATATTACATACGATTTCCCAAAGTTAATTCATCAGAGCAGATGGGAAGTCGTTTGGGTTTCTTGTGATTTACTTCTAGTGTTAAATATGAATATTGTGCTTTATTGACAACATAGACATTGTTTTGGAACCCCCTGCTTAAAAAATCATAGTGAATACTATGACAACAAAGCCAGAATTTATATTTTGGAGCTAGCAGGGCAGTGCTCAGATCTTCCAAGAGTTCTGATTACTAGGAGTACTTTGCACTAAGTACATTAGTGTGTCACCTGGAGGATGTTCATGGGACCAAGAAAAGTGCTCCTATATCTTTCAGGGGCATGAAGATCTGATGAAGGAATAGCATAAGAAAGGGATGGACAAAACTGTTAATTTCAGTTTCTCTCTCTTTCTCCCAGTCTTAAGTTTACTTTGCCACATTTCTGAATCAGTTTGTGATTTTTTTCTTCTGAAAAGGCTATCCTTTTAGGGCACATTTCTACTGTTATACAGACTTTTATGCAGTTTCCAGGATCCACATGTTTGCAAGCAATTTTTCCTAATATAATCATTTTTGTATGTTTGAATCCAAAAATATATGCATTTTATACACTCATTCTGTACACACTTTTTTATTTTCTTTTTAGAAGATCACAAAATTCATGATGTGAATTTTACAGGATCACTCATTTCATGTACTGTTTGGGGAAACGCAAGGTAGGTAGGTTCAAATTAAAATGTGACCAAACAGAATTTCTTCCCCATCCTTAGCACCATGACTATGAGTCTGAAAAACAGAGACTGACTAGTAATCTCATTGCCCTCTGGTTACATATCTTCCTGGCCTTAGACACAATAGTGTAAGTGCTGTCTTGAGTTCATTCTGAGCTCATTTTATTTAGGTTTCCCAGCCATGACCCGAGATTGCTGATGGACAGAAGGTTGACTCCAGGACTAAAGTGGCTTTGGGCAAAGTGTCCTCTGTTGGTTAGTCCTTGTGGACTTACCAGGCTAAATTGTCATCATTCCGAGCATCTGTCCTTTACTCATAGTGCACTAGGAAGGTCCAGGACAGGTAGCAGTGGGCCTTACTAGGCTTCTGAGACCTTGGCAGTTCCCCAAGGATAAAAGACCTGCTGGTGTGGTTGTAATATTAAACCATAGTCTAGTGTAAAGTAAAGGTAAAGGGACCCCTGACCATTAGGTCCAGTCGTGGCCGACTCTGGGGTGGCTGTGCTCATTTCGCTTTTTTGGCTGAGGGAGCCGGCATACAGCTTCCAGGTCATGTGGCCAGCATGACTTAGCCGCTTCTGGCGAACCAGAGCAGCACACAGAAACGCCGTTTACCTTCCTGCCGGAGTGGTACCTTTTTATCTACTTGCACTTTGACGTGCTTTCGAACTGCTGGGTTGGCAGGAGCAGGGATCGAGCAACGGGAGCTCACCCTGTCACGGGGATTCAAACCGCCAACCTTCTGATTGGCAAGTCCTAGGGTCTGTGGTTTAACCCACAGTGCCACCCGCGTCCCATAGTCTAGTGTAGCATCGTGTAAATGAACGTCACTCTCATACTTTCCCTGTTCTCTCTCCTCTCTGCTGTGACTACAAGAAGCAGATTGGAAGCATTTTCTTCCTTTTAAAACAAACCTCAGTTTATCCTCAGGGCTTGACACCTGTGGAAGAAAATGCTTTGCCTCTTTCATAAAAATATATATGAAATTGCTTCTCTTCCTGCAAAATCAACTGCGTAGGACAACTGCCCCGACCTTTTATATGAAAAGCTTATATCTTTGAATGACTGTGTTGCATATATATTTTTAACATCTGAGTTGGCTGTAAGGGTGTGAAGAGTAATGTGTTCTGTTGCTGAGAAAGTGGCTAGAAAGATGTTCCCCAACCCCTCATAATATTGGAATTTGAGGTTCTCCAATGAAGCTGAGTAGTAGAAGATTCAGGACGAAAAAGGAGGAAGTGCTTCTGCACATTGTTAAATTATGGAATTTGCTCCCATAAGATATGGTGATAGCCCACAACTCAGAATGCTTTAAATGGGGTTAAACAAATTCATGGAAGCTGCTATGATGGGCTGTAGACTATCTCCAGGATGAGCTGCCGTGTGCCTCTGAATATGACTGGAGAGCATCAGTGGGAGAAGGCATTTGTGCTCATTTTTGCTTGTGAGCTTCCTTTAGGCGCCTGGCTAGCCACTGCAGGACACAGGATGCTTAACTAAAAAGGCCTTTCGTCCAGCAGGACTGTTCTTGTGTTCCTTAACAGTGAGTTTCAGCGGCAAGAACAGATTTAACCAGACGGATTCAGGCTGAAATTCTTGCTCTGCCACAACCTTCTCTCAGTCCAACCTACAGGGTCATTCTAAGGCCATAATGGGAGAACTCTGTACATTGCTCTGAGCTCTTTGGACTAAGAACCAGTGTCAGATAACCAAATAGGCAGAGTAGGCACTGGCCTATGGGCCCCACACCTTTTAGGGGTCCTGCGACGATCAAAATAATATTGATTTGATCTCGAAAAAAAATGATAATCAAGCTTTCTTAGTTCAGTGTTATCCCACTAGAGCACACACACGAGAGGGGCCCAAGATTTCGACTACCTAGGGGTCTCCACAGGGTTTAATCCAGCACTGGGAAGGACAAGTTAAAATTGTAATCAATAAGAACCCACTGCAGTGTGGTGACAGAGATATTATGTCATTTTTTGTTTGTTGACCCTGCTTTGTCAGACTTAAGCTACACAAACCACTTTATTATGTGGTGGAATCATTCGTGGGCTGCACCATTTTAGACTGTTGGTGAGATATTGTGCTTTTGAATGCTCACCCTCCTCGAAGAAAGCCCTCTCATACGTAGAAAGCCATAACTCTTTATGGTTTTCTTTGTGCAGAGAATTTTTCTTTAAAAAAATACAGTTCTGTAATTCCTTCACCTGTACAGCCTAAAGTGTAACTACTAGGAACGTTTGTACATGATAAGGTGTTTGTACAGATTGAGAATTATACAAACATTACCAGGAATTGCCTATTTGTGCAATACATGGTTTCAGCACTCTTAAGACACTTGAAGAAAGAGTTGAATCCTAATCACGTTTACTCAGAAGGAAATCCCATGCAGTTTAATAGGATTACTTGGTAAGTGTTGTTAAGATTTGAGCCTAAGGAATATATATCAGTTTAACAACAAAATGCAGCATCAATGTCTTATAGGTGAGAAAATGATGGGATAACATGAAAATATGAAGGTCAAATAGTAACAATCTTGCAGCATTTTTTTTTAACTTGCTTATAAGACCTTTAGGGCAAGAATGATGCCTGTCTTTGTGCAATGCAAAGCACAACAGCTCCAGTGAGCCCCCTCACAGTCTCTTGGTGCTACTGAAATATAAGTATTAAATAATTCAAGACTAATAAAGATAGGAAACTGCAGAGCTAGAGGGAAGCAACTCTGCAGCTAAAGCTGAACAGAGGTTGATAAAATATTGGACCTTGTTTTAGTGGTATCAGCAGAAGAAGCCGTAATGCTGTGTGTTTCTGTGAAAACCATGCAGCAAAAGTATTGTCAGCAAACTTTCCAATGCATAAGGGATTTTAGAGGTCTGATCCTCAAGATATCTCTTATGTCAGTTCTAGATCCTACAAGGGTCGCAGTGTCATAGCAAGATCAACAGCAATTCTTATTTCTCCTCTGCAGACACAAGGCTGATTTCCTCAATATGTCTTGATCAGTTAAACTCACTAGAAAATTATGTTAATATATCAGTTTTGTATCATATACCTGTCATTTATGATGAAAGAAGCTGGTAATCATCACATTTGGAGGAGGTCCAGATTGTAATATTTCCTTCTTCACAGAACCTCAAGCAGAAGTATATTGTTGCATGACACCCAATCTCTGGACAATGCAAGATTCCAGGGGTTCCAGGGCTCTTTTGAAGGCTTTGGTTTCCTTGGAATGAGGGACAGTTGAGATTGTGGTATCTTTATGATACATGGTTTGTTTACACAAAATACAACCTAAGCCTACAATAGAGGGGCTTGCAGCATTGACACCCCAATAAGTTCTTGCTTTTCCCACAGCCTCAGGATCGATTCAAACAGGAATTGGGCACGGCTCTGTCTCTCCCAGCTGCCCATCCTGCAACTTGCTGCTTCTCGCTTCTAGCTCTCACACACAACTCCCAACTCTGTCCTTTGACTTTCTAACTACCAGTGAGTTCAGGGCAGGGGGCCCATCCATTTTCTCTTTGGCACAGAGACACTTCCTTTGTTTCCTCAGTAGCCCATCCTTAGAAAGCCATTACCCCACCAGGAAGCTAGCTTGGCTCTTCCAGGAATTGAATCTGTGCTGTATCCAGGAATTAGAAGGGGCCTCAAGCATACAGCCTACCCTTGTCCCCAAACTCATAACAATATTTAATAGTATTTAAACTAATTATGCCTAAGGACATTTGTTGAAAACTTCTTCTTAAATGAATTTAGACTTAAGCCCATAATTAAAAGAAAAACTAAGTAATAGAATCATAGAATTGTGGAGCTGGAAGAGACCCCGAGGATTGTAGCCTCTGGACCAGGAGGAAACAAGCTTGCTCTATCTTCCCTTTAAATATTTGAAGATGGCTATCATAGCTCCTCTTAGTCTCCTCTTTACCAAGCTAAATATACCCAACTCCCTCAAGCATTCCTAATAAGGCTTGGTTTTCACATCCTTGATCATCTTAGTCACCCTCCTCTGTACACATTCTAACTTGTTAATATCCTTCTTAACTGGACACAATATTCCAGGTGTAGTCAGAATAAAGTGGGACTGTTCCTTCTGTTGACGCAGCCTAGAATAGCATTAGCTTCTTTTCTTTTCTTTTCTGCTGCTGCATCACATTGTTGATTCACGTTAAGCTTGTGGTCTGCTAAGACTCTGAGATTCTTTTCATATGTACTACTAACAAGCCAGGTGCCCCCATCTTATATTTGTGCAGCTGGTTCTTCCTGCCTAAATGTAGAACTTTACATTTGTCTCTATTGAAATTCCTTTATGTAGTGTGCAAGGTAGATGCTATAAACACCTGGGATTCATCAAAAGATGGGAAATGGTATGTGTCTATCCGTCTCCAGTAAATTATTAAACAATTACTGCCAACCATTATGAAACCTTTTCTACCAACCATTGTTATCATAGTCGCCTGTTGTGATATTTTCATGTTGTATAGATACACAATTTGGATTTGCATTACTAAATTGTGTAAACAGCCGTCCAGTCTCCCAGATGTTGAGAGTCCTTAAGAACAATTGCTCCCTCTCGGGTATTTGTAATGGGTGTTAAAGAAATACATAAGGGAAGGTGTAGCATGAGCATGAGAGCTCTGCCTGCTCAACATTTTTATCAGCTATGAGTTAAAGAGGAACCTTCTAAAGCCAGGAACCTCTGCAGTCATGGAGGCCACCCAAAAAATCAGGGTTCTAAAACACTTGAGTAGAGCAGAGTTGGTAAATGACAGAGCAGCAGAGCCAGTGCATTCATCTGCATTGTGTGCTATCCTAGTATGTTAAATTAACACACATTAGAAATGCCTGTAGAAGTGTAGTAGCTACTGTCAATCTGGAAAAGCAATAAGAAAAAAGAGGTCCATATTGTCATAGGGATTAGGATTTCCTGGCGCTTGTTTCGCATGACAGTTGATCTTGCAAGCAGATTTAGATCAGAAGTGATATTCTTGGGAATTGACAAAGTGGCATGTTGAGCACACTGATTTGGCATGTATCTATGTGCGATAGGAGCCCTGGGGAAATGAGCACCTGCATTTTGTCATTTTCAAAATGAAATATTGATGTGGGGCACATAAATTCAAAGATTGTATCCTCAGAGCTGAAATGCCTTTGAAAATCTGGTACCTTCTGACTAGGTAGAGGTTGACTCATATTGGAATGCTAGAATCCCCCTCCCCCACTATTGTTATTTATTTTTGACATTTATACCCTGCCTTTCTATAAAATACTCAGTATGGTGTAGGTTGTGTAGCTTTGCTGATCTTTCTTGCATTTCCTTTTTACTGGCAAATGTAGGCTTCATGCCTATGCTCCTGTGCTAGAAGTATGTTTCATTGAAGCCAATGGGACTTCTGAGTAGACATGCATAAGATTGTGCTGTAAGTCTTCTAGTACTGTATTTGCTCTTTTGGTTGTATTCTTGAAATTTGTCTACCAGGATTGTGGAGGTGCTTAGAAGCCTAATCTTGAAAAGTATTTGATGGGATAAAATATTAGCACCCCCCTTTAAAACAACGTTGATTGTTTTATCTAAGGTTTATATTCTGGTTCAGATTTTCAAGCACTAATCACTCAAACGAAATGCTAAAATAAGCTACTATGATTTGTGAAGGACAAAGAATTCTCTACACCTTTTTTCTCTTTTAAAGGTGATGAAATATTAATCAGATTCGGCTGCAGCACATACAAAATTTAATCGCATTGTTCCCAAACCTCATTTTTGAAAGCTTATTCTCATGATATCATTGCCTGGAGCTAAATCAATGTTCACATGAGAGATTTGGTAAAATGAAACTTGTATATACAATAGAGTCACAAGGCTTTTCTATTTTTATTATCTGCCTCCAAATATCTCTCATTTTTTTCTTAGTGGGTAAGCTGGCTCTAATGCATAAACATTGCAGTTAGCAAGTGAACCATACATTTTCCAGAGCCCCCTTAACTGTCTAGTTTCTTTTTAAAGGGTTGAAATAAAAAAGCTATGCTTCTAAGCAGTTTTGTGAATATTTTAATGAGCACTTTTAGAGATGATCAAGCCTGGATATATTCTCAGTAATATAATGCATGTCAGCTCTTCCCAAATAATGTCTGGTTGTAATTTTAATGAAAGTTCCAGCTATTTATTATCATATCTATAGGCTATTAACAACCCAATACATAAGTCACAGAACCAAATGAGATATCCAGCGGCTAACACAGTTAGGCCTGTAAATCAGGAGGAGTCACTCAAAACTGAGCTGCGTTCTTAAAACATCTTTATCTGTACTATAAAGAGCTGTGTTTATCTGGGTGGCGGGGAGCTGCTGGCAGTAATTGGCTGAGCTGCTGTGATGTCATGGGAAATTCCAGTTGCTGAAGGAATAAAGATATGAGTTTTGCCATAGTTATTCACATTTAGGAAACTCTTCTTAGACCATTGTACATGAGGTCACCATGAACAGAACCACAGAACCACAAGCTTATTAAATGGGACTGGATATTTTGATTGCATTATGCCAGTGACTTAACAACTGCACTAGTTCCATATCAATTTACAAACCCAGAGCTGGTCTAAATCAATGTAGCTTTGAATGGCTTACGACCAGGTTACCTGAAAGATTGCCTCCTCTTGCAGATGCCTTCCTGAACCTTAATAGTCCCTTTGGAGATCCTGCTTCCAACATATAACGTGAAGTGACTATTAAGCAAAGGGCCTTTTCCATATGGCACTCTGTCTTTGGAATCACCTCACCAAGAAGAAGTTCATCTGTTGGCTTCTTTTTGATGCCAGGTGAAGACCTTTTTATTCACCAAGGCTTTTGTGTTAAATCCAGAAGATTGTTTTGTGCTGTCTCTGTTGTGAGAGAGCTGTCTTTTATAATTTATTGTTTTAATAGTGATAATTATAGTTATTTGACAGAACACATGTGTTAAAAACCTCTTTAAATGTGACATTTTGTGTAGATTTGTTTTATTAAATAGCACATTTATGTGGGAATGGGATAGAGCAGACTTATAGGTGAACACTTGACCGAGACTTGGAGTGGAAATAAGAGTCATTTGTCAGTCCTCAAAAGCAGGAAATAAAAGCTTACATCTGTATCCTGCTTAAGATGTTTCTAGCTGGCACCTAAGAGACAATCACCTCGGTTGCAAATGAGGATTTCTAAAGAATTCCAGAACTGGGTTACTGCAGCTGGAAAAGTTCCCTACTTAGTTGACATCTGTCTCACCCTCTGAAGGAGGGCTAACTCAGAGAAGGGCATCAGCAAATGAAGTTAAAGTGAAGGCAGGTTGCCATAGTAGTAGATACCTTCTCAGGCATCTTATCAAAGTGTCTGCTGTTTGACTAAGCTCCAGGCTTTACTTGCTACTTCCAGAGTATTCAGGCATGGCTTTATTTTCTCTTTATGCTCCATGACAGCAACAGTGGCTAATTTCAGTTTCAAAGCATTGCAGTTCAACTGTTTAAATGCATGTTTAATTTTCCCTGGTTAACATATGCAAATAGTTTTCTTGTTTCAACCCTTTAAATAATTGAAGGAAGTGTTGTTGTTGTTTTAAAAAATTCTGCACACACACATATTTATACACACACGCAGCACCAGACAGTCCCAGTTTATTTGAAAGCATCAACTTCAGTTACTGAAACAATGCTCAGTCTTCACATTCCTTTTAACAAGTGTTATCTCTTTACCCTTTCTGTCTTCTAAAATGGCATCATGCTGGAGGGTTGAAAAAGTACAGTTTGGTTGTCTGTTGCTCTGAATGTATTGGTGTTAGGCGGAGGAAATGTGGAAAAATATGGAAATCTCTTTCCTATTCAAGTGGAAACTATTTAGTGAGATTTGAGGCAGGTTCCATAAACATAATGTGTCAGATGAAGTCACAGAACCATACTTTGAAAAGTCCATTACAAATGTCTTGCAGCAATTGCACAGTGAATACTGATTTTGCGTGGTACTGCTGCAAGACAAATGACTCTGTAGTGAAAGAAAATCTAATGTTAATTAATCTTCATCAAGGTTTAGTGGATGATAGAATTTATGTGTTGTACATCTTACTGGATTGAAATTGCATGAGGAGGAGAAAGCCTGGCTATAATTCTGATGCTGCCATGTTGATTGCAAGTCATTTGGATAGGTTAACATTAAACAAATTTAATAGATTTTTTAAAAATTAAAAAATCCAGCCATGCTAACAGCAAAGAGTACATTAAATCAGGGGGCATAGTTTTAAGAACTACGACTTTAAATAACTACCACTTTCAGATCCAAATTGTTGAACCCCTTCCTGTATGGTAAATTCCAATTACTTCCAAAACAAGTTTAATACTATTAAACATTCATTACTACATTGGGGCTTATTCCCAAGTAAAGTGTGCATAGGATTTCAGTCAGAACCTAACCCTGCCCAGGGGACAATTGGAAAAGCAGAGCAACCACCACATCCAAAGCCCTGGAGACTCCAGCCAGTCATGGCAGTAGGTGGGAAGGCTCTGTCCTTCCAGGCTGGTGCAATAGAGCAGCTTGAAACAGGCCCCTCACCTAAAAATGGAATGGCATAAGATACAGAAGATCCTTGTCTTACTTAGCTCTGGCCCACCTGTGAAACCCTCTGTAGCCTCCTGTTTGCTTGGGTAGAGATCAGGCCATGGCGGCAGAGAAGCTCCTCCCCTCAGTGATTCTTATCTCTGTTGATGAAAGTCAACAGAGAGGTGTCTGTGCTTCAATCTAACCTCCCCCAGCCATCCACATCAGGGGTGTTAGGGTTGCTCCCGTAATCTATGTAAATGGTCTGGAGTTTAGATAAATACAATTTACTTGCTAAATTTAATCTGATTTTTAAATTCTTAGGAGCACTGAGTGTATTCTCACATCATATGCCAAATGAACATGAGATGTGCAAATCGGATTTACCTGTGATCTGTTCTATCATAAAGCAGGCTTTTAATATTCAGAAAATTCTCAGATTTTTTCTTGAGAAGACAGGATATACGGTATGTTGACTGTCTGCCGTGCCTCTCCTTTGTCTGTCTTTCGATAGCAAGTCAATAAAAATGATTAGAGTTGGCACCTCACAAAATGTACGCCCTTAAACCATGAAGCTATAATACTGTGAAGGATTTCCCCCCCTGACCTTTTCAAATTACGTCCAACCATCTGGGGAATTTCTCAGTGACTAGAGGTAATAAGGTCCAATCCTTTTTGCTAGTTGGCTTCAAATTCAGCTCCTCACAAGCCTTAATTTATCTATTCTTTTTATCTCGACCTTGGCATCTTTTCAATACTGTAATCCGTGCATCTAATCTTGGTTGTGTTTCTCTTCCCACACCCCCTTCTTCCCCACTCAGGTTTTGGTGTACAATCAAGCTGTGAAAACTACAGCCATGAAAGGCCCTCCATTTATTGCATTCTCCAAAAATGTGATATTAGCATGGGAGGCTAAGCTGGTATGTTGCCTTTTGAGAGGCGCTTGTTGAATTTAATTAGTTTTTAGATTTCATCTCCAACCTGCATCTCAGTTCTTTGCCATCCTGGGTGATTTATGCTTCAGTTGCTTTCATTCTATAAAACTTTCTAAACTTAGCTGTGCTGTTGCACTCTGCGGATTATTAAGAAGTTGGGGCGAGGTGCTGGTGGGGCGAATGAGTTTAAAAGTTATTTGTGTTAAATTGATTTCCCTTTAGTTATCAAACGTGATAGACACAATGGCCCGGTAAATAAGTGAGTCACCCGAGTGAAACACACAAATAGCTGTTCTAGCCTTTTCTTTTTTTTTAAGCTTCAATGAATAGAATAGAATAGAATAGAATAGAATAGAATAGAATAGAAACGAAACTGGAAGTTAAGAACACATTTACCAAAAAAGGTACAGAAGTCCCTGGAAGTTCTTAAGATAATAAAAGCTTACTTTGTGTTTTATCTAGCCAATATTCTTGCATTTCAGTTCAGAGATCTGTGCATGTAATCATCTATCTACAGTATGTACATTGCTGATGCTAAATTAGACACCCATTCCCACTTTGAGGCTCACTGGCCATGATGGCTGTGTTCTCCATCCAGTGCAGCAAAGGACCCTTGGACAGTTAAGTCCAGTCAAAGGCAACTATGGGGTGTGGCACTCATCTTGCTTCAGGTCAAGGGAGCTGGCATTTGTCCACAGACAGCTTTCCAGGTCACATGGCCAGCATGACTAAAATGCTTCTGGCACGATGGGACACCGTGACAAGTGCCAAAGTGCACAGAAATGCCATTTACCTTCCTGCCGCAGCAGGGCCTATTTACCTACTTGCACTCACGTGCTTTCAAACTGCTAGGTTGGCAGAAGCTGGGACAGAGCAACAGGAGCTCATCCCATTGCATGGTTTCGAACCACCAACCTTCCGATCAGCAAGCCCAAGAGGCTCAGTGGTTTAGGCCCCGGCACCCTTTTACCTTACTAGAGTCCATTGCCATCATGCAGCCACTGATAACCTTATTGTCTATGAACTTGTCCAATCTGCTTTTAAAGTCATCCAAGATGGTGACCATTACTACATGTTGTAGTAGCTAGTTCTAAGTTCTGCCTCAACGTACTTCATCTCTTGTCACCAGCATTTCCCTTAAACTTGTTTGGGAAAGACTTCAAGTTTCTGAAGTAGTCCTTCATGCCTCAAATTATTTCCTTGACTCTCCTTGTTGACCATGCTGGCATCTTCTTGGCCTTAGTTGTAACTTTGCCCATCTGTGATATACATTGTAGCTTATCTTCTATTTATTGTGGTTTGAATAATCCTCAACCTTTTTTTTTTTTTTTTTTTTTTGGAGGGGGAGATTTTACTTTCTTGCTTTTCCCTTTTCAGTTCCTTGTTATTAATCCCCTCAGTTTTGAATCTTTTGAAATCAAATGTGACAGGATTGGACACTCACATCCCACAAATATTGAATTCGACAGTTCTGTGGTCACTGTTTCTAATAGGTTCAACAGCACTTGCATTTAATACCAGGCAAACTACTAACACCATATTGGACCCAAATATGTCTACAATCCAGCCAAACATAAGCCTTTTAAAATCTGATTGATCTCAGTCAGTGAAACTGAAATCAATAGGCTTAGAAGTGTTCCGTTTGTTCCGTTTGTTTCTATTAGCACAGCCAGACATCCCTTTCATTCATCACAGCAGCATCTGCATGACAAAATTTCCATGGATTAGGCCATTGCACAGTTAGCCCTTGCTATCCACTTGTGGTTCTTGACAGGAAATGATACACATGTGTATGTTATGTTTCCTTCTCTGTTCTTGAGGTGCATGAATGTGGAGAAATGATGTTGATTCAGAAAATATCTAGAAGTCCCATAATACATTCTAGTCACTGAAAATGTGAACAAACTGACTTGTTGAGCACTTAGAAAATTGAACCGGATATGTGACTCCTACTGCTTTGTCACTTATTAATGGCTTAAGAAAAAAGGGCTGTTTATTAGATCTGGATTGTGTTGAGCTTGGGTTGTGGCTGACTGAGGCAGGTCAAAGCAAGGCAAAAGTGGAGAGAGAACAAGGTAAAATCAGTCCGTGGCCAGCAAGAGCAGGATTTCCTAGCTCTGGTCAAAAAGGAAGCCTGACCCAGTAGCTTCTGTAGTACTTGGAGAGTGCTATGTGACTAGCTATAGCTTATTGTAATAAAGAGACTTCCGTGCTTGTGAGACATTGCCTTTCCTATGTGTAACAATTACAGTGCAAATGATGATGGTGATGATGACAGGCAAAATCTAGCTGGTGCAACTCTACATTGCCTTCAGCCAATGTGATAGTATACAAGTGTTGTTGTGCTCAGGACCTGCTTTTAGGATTCCCGTAGACATCTGGTTAGCGGCAGTGAGAGTAGGATGTTGGAATAGATGGTCAACTGGCCTGATCCAGAAGGCTCTTCTGCTCTTGTGTTCTTCATTAATTGCAGCAAAATCATGATTTCTGGAAGATGTATTCTATTCCACAGGGGTGGCGCATCCCGTTTTACTGCTTGAGGTGAAATAGGAAGTGCTGCCCCTTCCTGCCACCACTACTACCTCACCTGCTGCGCTGCCTCCACCACCAGTTCTCCGTCGGCTGAAGAGGTGGCGGGGCAAGTGGAGATGCTGCTTCGTGGTTGGACTGGGTCTGCTACTCCAACCCTGCCAGGGACATCGGTGTGTCAAATCAGATTTGTGAGCAAACGAAGCTACCACAGGCAGTCCATTGGTCCTGGTAGCTTGAAAGAAGTGTTGTTAGCTCTGGGTCTTTGGTGCCAAGCCCTAGATCTTCTGCCCTTCCACCCATGCTTTTTTAAAAAAGATTTTCATAACTTTGCTTACAGAGTAGTTGGGGACTTTGGCGGATTCCAGTTCCAGTGAGATTCCATACACCTTCTCTCTTAATTTTCCCAGAAGTATAGTATATATTTATGCAAACTTGTGTTATAGGCCTGTGTCCCAAGTCTTTTAAGCACCTACTAACACCTCTGAAACTTGGTATTGTTCACTGTGAAAGACAGCAGCTCTCCAATGATCTGAAACAGAAAATAACCCTTTCGAGGTATATTATCAGAAATCCTAGCTCTCTGATCTTCATCATGCCTACACTGCAATGTGCATGCATACCCCATTAAACCTTTGATATGCATCCTTATTCAGAAAGAACCACAGTCATTGCACAAAACGGGTTGCACTTTGCCAAATCTGGAGTGAAGTCATTTTTTTTTAATTATTTTGTACTATAATTTTTAAAGGTGTCTTCAATGGTTTAATTCATCACCTTTTATGTCAATTGGTATTGATTGCCTTGTTCAGTTAGGCATGTCCACATGTACATAATAGCGCTTCTTAGCTCGTTTTTAAATTAGACCACCCACATGCTATTACTTATTCCTTTGACCTCTTGCACCAGCACACAGGTGCTGAGATTGGGGGTGTCTATGATGTTTCACTGACACTAAAGACCAGGTACACTGTCAGCATTTCAAAACACAACATTACCTGGCACAGTTGTTAGCGACCACGCTTTAAGACTTTCCTTTCGATGTAAGCTCATTTCTAAAATCATTGTCTTTCTTAATGAGCCTGATCTTTCATAAAACACAAAGAATATCATCAAGTAACCGTGTTCAAAAGGTAAATGGTCCATGTTTGCTCATGCTGTCTTCTTTCATTATAATTTCTTTATAGTCCAAAGTGTGTTACCCTGTTTAAAAAAAATGAGCATTGCCACAGAGGAAATGAAGTGTCCAATTATCTTCCTTAGCGAACCGTGACTGCAGATTTCTGTGTCTTTGTCCCCTTTTGTCTGAAGAATAAGTCTTTCCTCCACTGAGATTGCTGTAATCACGTATTTGGGTGGAATGAAATAAGATACCTGGTATCTTAGCAAGGAGGGGTCTTAGCTCAGTGGCAGAGCTTTGCAGACAGAAGGTCCATGGTTCAATTCTTCGTATGTCCAGATTTAGCTGGAAGAGACCTTTGTATGAAATCCTTCAGAGCTGATGCCATCAGCATAGACAGCATTGAGCGTTCCTAGGTTATAATATTCAATATGATCACACATCGTATTTGGACACCTCCAGCTACAGAAACAGGTGTTTCTTCCACTTGCCACACAGTACCCATTTCCAATGCTAGGTTGAGCCCTAGAAGAAGAAGAGCATTAATAAAATTAATAAAAGAAATGGATGTGTGGGGAGCAACTTTGCTCACCTCTTAGCAGCCACAACCAGATCCCTACATAACTTGAGCTTCTAAGGCAGAAGCTGTGACTTCCAGGCAGATTCAGCCCCAGCAACTCTCTGTTTAGAAATAAAGCAGCACTAAGGGAAAACTAAGTGAAAGTGGGACGTGGGTGGCGATGTGCGTTAAACCACAGAGCCTAGGACTTGCCAATCAGAAGGTCGGCAGTTCGAATCTCCACGATGGAGTGAGCTCCCGTTGCTCGGTCCCTGCTCCTGCCAACCAAGCAGTTCGAAAGCACGTCAAAGTGCAAGTAGATAAATAGGTACCACTCCGGCGGGAAGGTAAACGGCGTTTCCGTGCGCTGCTCTGGTTCGCCAGAAGCGGCTAAGTCATGCTGGCCACATGACCCGGAAGCTGTACGCCGGCTCCCTCGGCCAATAAAGCGAGATGAGCACCGCAACCCCAGAGTCAGCCACGACTGGACCTAATGGTCAGGGGTCCCTTTACCTTTACCTTTAAGTGAAAGCTAAATGGTATAAGTATGGCACATCCTGCAAGTACAGCAGCTAAAGCAGTCTCCTTCCTTGTTTAACATCTGCCACTGCTCTGCTAAAGTGTGCTGGCTTTAATTCAACACATTTGAAACTTCTTTAGCTATAATGAAATCCCATTTCTAAAATGATGTCTGCACGGGAGGTTCCTTCACTCCTTGCCCAATGCTTTCATGCTACCAGAAATGTGGTGTCCCATAAGTGTAGTGGAATGTAAGGGTCTATATAGGAAGCTGCCTTATACTGAGTCAGGCCACTGGTCAGTCCAACTCAGGGTTATGTAAACTAAATGGAAGCAAGTCTCCAGGATTTCAGACAGGGATCTCTCTCATCCCTACCTGGAGATGCTGGGGATTTGGGGATTGAAAACTGTTATGTACTAACCTTGGATCCTAGAACAATAGGCAAGTAGGATCCTAGAATGCAACAACTGATTGGCTTGCAGGAGAAGACCAATCAGGGTCCAGGAAGAAGTTAATTAGCCTATTAAGCTGGTAGGATCGTAGAATGCAACAACTGACTGGCCTGCAGGAAAAGACCAATCAGGCTCCAGGAGAGAAGCAGAATCAGCCAATCACAGTGGGACTCATTGTGTAAATAATGCATATAAAAGCCTGAGGCCTGGGGGGTAATTCAATCACTGTTTTACAAGCTGCAATAAAGAGCATGAAATCACTACAGGACTCCGAGTATATTTCAAAAACCCAGGCCCTTCTGCATGCAAAGCAGTTGCTCTGCCACTCAGCTATAGCCCTTCCCCAGAGGTGCATGGCTTGCATTCAAGTGGCTGCAAGTTCAGTCCCCATCACCTCCATATAAAATGATTATAGGAACAGTACTGGGACAACTGGCCCAGGACCCAGCACCAATGGTTGGGCTTAGTATAGGGTAGCTTTGTGTGACCGTATTAGAGGAGTGGACCACTGCTCAGTGGTACATACTTTGCATGTATATGCTCCCAGATTCAGAGCTCAGTTGAAGAATCTCAGGGCCAGGAAAGACATCTGCATGATTTCTGCATGAGTTTATTTATAGTAAGCTCGCCACTTACATGGGGTTTATGTTCCGGGAATCACACCTAAAGCCAAAATCGTGTATAGTCAGAACCCATTGGGTTCATTGACAGCCGGGATTGCCAAAGTAATTTCCCCCAGAACTCCACCCACTTTCTGTCCCCTTTTAATTTTTTTAATATTTATTTACACACGTGTAAAGCTGAATGGCAACAAGTTAAATGTGAGTACATTGCCGGCTTACTGTATAATAGTTTTATACAACCCTTCATTAAATTTGATTCTAAGGTGGTTTACAACATTTAAATTGCTAAAAGTACGGTATAATCCACAGTGAAATCAAAAATAGATTTTAAAACTACTTCAGATGCTGTGGTGAATAAAGAGCAGATGCCATAATAAGGCAGGTATGGAGAACTGCCTTCAGCCCAAAGATTGCATTTTCCTATGTTCCATCTTTGGCGTGGGGCACATGTCACTGGTGGGTGGGGCTAGAGGCAAAAGTGGGAGGCTGTATTTGACCCCTGGGTCTTAGGTTCCCCACTCCTGTGTTAAGGGGCTGCAGGACTCTTTTGGGGAGGTTTAAGGACCCTTGAACCAATGGTCTTACTTAGCCTTAGGTAATCAGTGCTTGCCTTGTTGCCTGAACAGTTTTCAACCAAGTGAAATCCACCACCTTTGCTGATCCCTCCCACCATCTGCCTTGTGATTGGGGAGATTGCTGCAAGGGCATCATCTTTCTGTGTCACATAATAATAATAATAATAATAATAATAATAATAATAATAATATTTATACCCCACCCACCTGGCTGCGTTTCCCCAGCCGCAGCCCCTGTCTGCTATAGTCTTCCTGCACCAGTAGATAATGACTTGGAATTTCCAAAAACTACTATTACACCTACAAACCTCACAACAGCACCCTTGTGGTGCCAGCAAATACACATTGTGCAGATATTTGGGCTGCCAGATATACATCTTCTGCTGCTCTTTATGTGGAACAATTTAGGACTCATCTTAGGACTCTGCCCCATGAGATTGGCTTGCCCATCTAATAAAAACTTACAGACACCCACTGTTTTCTACCCATAACCTAAGAATAAAAGGGCCTCTTTGCAGCAGCACGTTTGAATGTCATTGTAATGTCACCACTGTTAGCTGCATTTATGTATCTTTTTACAAGGATGTGCTTTGGGAGAAAATGCAGACAGCATCACTTATAATAGATGGCTCATTTGTAATTCTGCAAGCAATAAATCCAAAGTAATGTTATAATTTTGAATTCAGACAAGATTTCTGGACTGTGCCACACTACTAGAGCTGTGTGTTTTTTTAACTACACATTTTAATATTCAGAATTACATTTAAATAATAATGCATCAGGTAAGAACTGCCTTAATAATTTCAACTTTCCCTCCACTCTTACTTTTTTTAAAGCACCGAAGGCATTGAAACTCAACTTGAAATTATAGGAGGGATTGCACTTTCATTCATTCCTGCAATTTCTGACATCTCAGTTTGAACATTGCCTTTCATACTGCAATGCATGTGGGGAAGTCTAAATATATGATCCATTGATACTAATATTTTGCATTAAAGTCTTAGTATTTTATAACAAAATGTATAATTCCACTGTTGTTACAGTGATATCCTTTGTGCGTAGTAAAGTGAAGTATCCAAAACCACTTTTGCGCTACTAGAATTTAGTTTTGCAGTCAGTTATATGTGTCATTAAGTAGGATTGCCATATGTCTGGGAAAACGTGGACATGTCCTCTTTTGGGGGGCCAATGTGCCCCCCCCCCAGGCGGATTTTTACATTTTAAAATGTACTTACGGGACCGCCTCTCCTGGTATGCCCTGCGGAGGACCTTACGGTCCCCAAATAATAATATATTGGAGGTCCCAGGCCTCAAGGAGGTTAAACTGGCCTCAACCAGGGCCAGGGTCTTTTCGGCTTTGGCCCCAGCCTGGTAGAACACTCTATTGTAGGAGACCAGGGTCCTGCGGGAGTTGATATCCTTCCGCAGGGCCTGCAAGATGGAGCTGTTCTGCCTGGCCTTCGGTCTGGACCCAGTTTGGGACTCTGTACGTTACCTCTTTGGGCCTTTTATCGGCTCATATGGGACCAACATGGATAACTGGCCCTGATATATATTTGAGGTTCCCGACCCCTATGGTTGTAATTTCATGGACAGTCATTTAATTTTATCCTGATTCTAATTTTAAGCTGTATTGTAATCAATTGTTAAAATCAATAAATCAGTAATCAATAAATTACTCGAGGGGGCTGTCCCCCCAAAGTTGATGTGCATTGCTATTCAAATGGTGTGTGAGAGCTGCATTTTGTTATCAATTATGTGGAGCAGGGCTTACCTTCCATATTTTATTCAAGTTGGCACCTCTGTAACACAGCATCTCAGTCCTCAGAGTTTAGGAGACCCTTAATGGAAGAGCTGTTTTGACTAAATGATGTAAGTTGGCTTTGTCTGAAAATTCTGCGCAGCAGAATCATTAAATGAACATGAGCATAGAAAGTTTACATTCATGAAATGATCTTAACATCCTTTCGTCAAGGCATCCTGGATTAAAACTACATTGAAGTGCTCAGCAGTTTAAGGAATTAGTACTTTAATTGCATTGTTTAACCAATTAACTCAGCTTCAGTGTTTAATAATGTATTATAGGAAATAGTAAGTGAGACTTGTGGGCATAGGGCGGTATATAAATTCAATAAATAATTATGATAATAGGTCCAATAACTGGTATTTTTTTCTCCTTCTTTGCTGTATTATAGTATTCCATTTGTTCTAAGTATATATTTACTTGCATACAAGGATCTAGAGAGAAATCAGAGGCAATTATTACCAACAGATAATGCTAAAAAACTTACTACTAAGAAATTCTAGAATATATATATATATTATCCTAGAAAATTTATAATAACAATAGAGCTATATTTTCAGATGAAAAGATTATGATGACATCATAACCAACTACTCATGATAGTCTGAGCTGTTAATGTAAATCCAAACCTAGCTATCCATATTCAGGATATTTATTTGTTTTTATAGCTGCATCTCTATTGTCTGGTGCTGTTTCTGAAGATTAGTCCATCCAATCATCATAATCAGTCATCTATTTTCCTACAGCAAAAAGAAAATATTTCTTTATTTTTTTATTGAAAATACTGTTTTATCGAACAAAAAGAAAATTATGTTTGCATTGGCAAACAGACAACAACAAAACCTTAGGAGATTTGCTTGGCATTGCAAATTAATAGTGGAAAAACAGAAGAATTATAATTAGAAAGGAAAATAACGTTCCTTTTTCATATACTTTGTGTGTTTGGGGGGGAGTGTGTGTGTGTGTGTGTGTGTGTGTGTGTGTGTGTCCCTCACCAGCTTCTTAGAAAATAATGCAATTCAGGCTGAGGAGAATTACCGCCTAGCAGATTCTATTTATCTGTAGCTTAAAAAGCAGCTGCGTTTTTGTAAAAACCAATGAATGTGGCAGTCCTACTTAAAGGTAGAAGAAAAAGAACACCCCTTGTTTTGTAATAAGGGGATTTTCAATTTAAAAGCGAGAGAGGGCCTGTTGTGTGAAGTATGGTTATTACATTCATTGTATTCTATCTCACCCACCAGGAGGCTAATAATGAAGGAGTCAGTAAAGGAGGCCAGTGCCATGGGGGTTATCTCACAGTCCCAGATGATGGCTAAGTTGAAGAAGGCAGAATCGCTTTTGGATGACATTCAGGTCTGAATGATGATTTAGAGAAGAAAAGGCTATTCTTTCCAAGGTAAACAGTCCATTTCATCTGTCGGTTGTATATATTGGTCTAAAATATGTTTATATAGATATCTGTAAAATTTACTTTTATCGCTTTCAGGTTTTTTTCTTTCCGTGTGACAGTGAGCTTTCAGCAATGTATTTCTGAGACAAAAGATGCACTACGGACTCAGCCACACCTAAAGGAAAGCTTTGAAAGAATTGCCAGGTTCACTTTTAATAATGAGATAAAAAATTGCCCACATGGAGTCAGCAGAAAATGAACCAGTGGCAGGCCTGCTGCAAATAATTCCAGCAAGGGCCAAGAGACTAGTTGAAAAATGACTTCATGAGGTGAATATCCTTAGTTCTTACTTACGGTTTTGTAACTATGCAATCATTTTCTCTTTTAGGAGCCATGAATGAAAGTGGATTTCAGCACAAGCGCATCTCCACGCTAAATGGCCCTCTGAACATTTGTCATTTGTGTTGAGTCCGTTGACAGTCCAGCTATCCTTATTGCTGTTATTTATGACAACTAGTTTAATATATGTAAATAGGCACAAATAGCCGTCAAAAGGCTCCCAGAGTGGGAGACGTAATAAATGTATGTGTCTGAAGCATCTATGTGAATGTGTGTCCGTGTCTTTGTTTGTCTCCTTGCTTCCTTGTGGCAATTTTGTCATCCTTCGTAGCTTACATTTTTCAAAGGGAGATGCTTAGAGATGCACATTGTGGTTTCAATTCTTCCCAAAACAAGTTAAATATAGGAACATATTTAACTTGGGTTCTGTAACTAAACTTTAATTTCCAATACATGTATGCTTAAGACGACACAACTGGCATACATGGTGATATGTTAAGCATTACTGTCTTGGCCCCTCCAACAAATGAATAATCAGTTTTCAGTGCAAACTAAGCTTGAGAATCAATCTGTCATTGGGTCGTAGCCACTTTTGCTTTATTTTGCCCCATAAACACATAATCCAAACGAGTTTTCTGAAATATCTAACCCCAAAACTTTTTGTCAGTGCTATTCATTTTCTTTTTTTCTTTTTATCAGACATGCAGCCTTCCCTTTTAAAAAATGGAAAAATTGGAGTCTGGGCTTCCTCCCTGCTGAACGTCCTGTAGCTCTTTGCTTCTTCCTTTTCATTTCAGGCTGTCAGCCAACAAGGGAGTGCAGCTGAGACAAACAATTTCCTTCTTCCACAAATAAAGGCTGCCATGCAATGCAAAAAGCACTGAAAGAAAACTTTCAACCCAAGGCTGTGTTTCTTAAGAAGACTCCCAAGAATGAAAGGGTTGATCTGGCCCCAAGCCAATTTTGTTATGTGCATTTTGTTTGGCTAAGCAACAGCACAATAATGGGAGGGGGGGAGGAAAAACCCTCTCTACTCCTCTCCTTCCTACCTTGCCAAAAAAGAAAAAAGAAAAAGTTTCATGACTCTGTTTCCCACATATCGGAATCATGTGATATCACCATGCCAACCTAGCATTAATCTTCCCCAAAATGACTGTTTCAAAAGAAACAAGGCTGCAGCTTAACTTGCAACGCCCTGAAATTCAAAGCTGAATTAGGAACAGTGGGCATAATTAGGCCAAACTTTAACCATGTCCTGCTGATTTCGATGAAAAAGTTAATTATGTGCTTCTGTTTCTCCTGTTTATATCAAAGGGTTTAGAAGTACTTAACTTGGACTAGATTTGGCCCATTTTTCCTCTTATTTTCGAAAGACTGGTTGTCAAAAGAAGATAGGCAAGAATTTTTTTTTAAAGCACAGGGACTCCTATCATCTGTAGTCTCACAGAACTAGCCATGTGCAACAACTACTGGGCATAAGGCAGTTGCGTATCATAAAAAAGACACACCCAACCAATTGACTGGGTTACAGATGAACATCACAATAAAGGCGCAGATGTATAGCCAGGTGGGCACTGCAATCCTCATAGAGTGAGCACAAGGAGGCTTATTTCCTGTTGGATTGAGTCAGCTACGAAAGGGAGAGATGATTAAGGCTGCTTGAGTTGTGTATGTCAACATACATGAAGCGGCATATAACATAATTGAACATGCTTGTTTTGTATTGATATTAGTATTATAGTATATTTTTATCCCAATATGATACTGTATTTGTTGCCATTGCCCCCAGAACCTGAGAGATAAAAAGGGAAATGAGTAGCTATTTACATTTTAATATATGTCATTTAAAACTCACCTAAAACACACTGGAAGGTTTGGGAGTGCATTAATCTGGACCCAATTAGCGTCTTTTTGTCCCTCAAAAGTGCAACCTGAGATTAATGAATATAAACTAGAGTTTCATATACAGTTTTAAAATCATTTGCATGTTTTATGCATGATAATTTAATTTATTTATGCACCTCCTTTCATTTATGGGTTTCACTTATGCTAAGCATAGGGTGCTAGACAAGAATAGGTTTGATAGGCAGCCAGAGAATAGTAATAGGTAAATAAAATAGAGGAGGCTTTCAGTGGTAATCATTAGCTGCAAATTAAAATTAATCCTAACATCAGGTTTTGGGGGTTATTTTGCTAAGGTTCACATTAGCTATTTTCTTTTATCATATTGATTTTAGCCTTGTGTGGCATATCAGATATTCTTTAGTTTATGAACAAATGTGGAAGCAAATTTATTTTCAAAAGGCTTTGAATTTGTGATAGGTTCTCTTATTGACAATTCAATGACCCTAGAGACTTGTGTTTCAATTTGGCCAATTAGTGAGAATATGAAGACTAGTAATATCATCTATGTAATTCTGTACTGCATTAGTCCCAGGTCCTATGGATTCCTAGCTCGATTTGGAAATAACAGTACACGATCATTTCTTCACTGGCTGATAGAAATGTGACTGTGGTAGGTGGTAGATTAAGTCTGGTTTGGGATATATTTAGATCCAGAGAAAGGTTTGCCTTTCAGTTTGTGGCCTTGAGTTTTGCAGCACTGGTACTGACATCACCATATTACCAGCTCCCTGTTAATCTGAGATGCTTTACTATGCCTATAGTGATGTTGTCTGTTCTCACCCCAACCCTGAAAGCAAATGGCAACATCAGGAAAATACAGTGGGGAAGGCTGAAAGGATTCTTAAAAGTTTCCAAGGCAATGTTCATAGTTCCCTTGTCTTTTGTACGTGTTCAAAGATGTCTGTTCCAGTGCTATTTTCTGTGGTGTCCTGTCTATTCAGTGGATTCAATGGCTGTGTGTTGTGACTGTCCCCCCCAATCTGTTTAGCTAGCAACCTCTCTGAAGTCTAAATTGCTGTTAATTTGTGATGTAACCATTGTGGTGTGTGTTTTTAATCATTGAAATGCAGTTTTAAAATGTTGAGCAATGTAGCATGAAATTCTCAGTTAGTTTGGAAATGGTTGTGAAATCATGTGAAGAAAATCAGTATTGCTTCTGATCAAGATAAATTCACTTTAGTGTTTTATGGCTTTTTATTCCTATGTGATAGTAATAAAGTCTCATGTAGGGATGGAAGCCATGAAATACATTGTGAAAAATCATCAACTAAGATGAGCCATCAGAATAGAATTGTAGTAGCAGAGCTGCTAACGATTATTCGAAAATGATGTAGTATGTTGTGTTGTTGACTTCCACGCTTGCACTGTTTCTTCATTGCCTCACCCTTAGAGTTTGAAGGATAAGGGAGCTAGTTTCTCACAAGATAATTCATCTTTTGAGCCAGCATCCAAGTCTTATCTTTTAATACATTTTTTAATTTTTTGTTATTAAATACAACACTGTGCATGAAACACTGAATTATGTGAGCTATAAAATAAACAAAACAAATTAAATTCTATTGCTTTATGAGGAGGTCCAGGTTTCTTTACTCCCATACTCAGGAAATGATCCTCTAAACCAGAAGATAAGCTTTAGTCTCAATATTGTGCGCTGGCATCTTTTTTCCTCAAAGCGTGTGCTGTTCCTTTTCCTTTCCTGACATGAATTCTGGGAAACTTGCAGGCTGATCCATTAGGGCAGATGGGGAACTGCCCAACCAACCTCAGTCTGCCCATAACCATCCCTCACCTGCAATCCAGAGGTTGCCACTGGCTGTCAGATTCCTCCCCCTTAATCTCAGTGTTCCCCTTGTAGAACTCTGTCCCTAATAGGCTCTGATTCCACCTACTGTTGACCTCCCTGCCTTCTGCTCTGTTAGACCCAGTGTGCATGGGTCACCACTGTGGACTAGTATAGTTGTGGGACAGGGGAGCAGTGCCATGGGAAGCAGATGACAACCACATTCCTGTGCTGGTATACATGGTACTCCTTTACAAACATGATTGCAGTGATATGGTACCTCAGCCATGCCACTGGGGCTTCTACACTGCTAAGAGTCTGCCTGGATACACTCTATTTACTCAGCATCATCAGCCTTGTGTATATCATTTTCTTTTTTTGTTGGTTATTCTGATCACGATGTATTTGGGGGACTATTAAGCAACGGTGTTACATTGCTATCATTTATTTTATTTTATTTTTGCATCTATTATTTATCTGTCTTTCCTCCCCACAAAGTTAAATTTAATAAAACTCACTTTTATCGTTTTCTGTTCCTCTCAAAAACAACAAATCTGACTTTCTCTTTTATCTCCACATTTCTTTCCCTAGTTGACTGTTCTGATGATGCAGCCCCAACAAGAGAAATAAGGGTTTTCCACTGCATGGCACACACAATTTAGGACGAAGTTAAATGACATGCTGAATGCATGATTACGATTGCATGTCATGGAGAGGTCCTAACCTGCATCAGAACTGGGGCATGGGAGAGAAATTGCCAAGGACATAAATAACAGCTCCCTTCTTTTGCGGGGTGGGGAAGCTACGAATCAGGACAATGACATGGGAGGAAATAACATCACAGTCTCAACTCAGATAAGGGCTTCCTATAACTTCAGTCACATGTGTTGCCTAAGGTTTGTCCCTTAGATTAATTTTAAAGTATCACTTGTTTGAATAAGACAATTTACAAGTTTAAAAGTAAACTGAACCACAGTTTGAGGTTGATCACTGTATGAACAACACCATGTTTCACACATTTATTGGATGAGATTTGATGATAGCAAAGTACTCTGGGGGAGCCATGGTTGCAATAGCCATAAAATTGTCTTAGGAGTATGATCATGAGTCCTTTAGAGTTGCAGGGTTGATTTGAGTCCTATAAAATGCAGTGGCATTTGAGATTCTTCATGTGTCATATTCCCCATGCCTGAGGAGGCACTGTCTGTTTCTACTTAGAGACAGAAGCTCCTCCTGCAGTCAGTTTTTCCACTCCCATCCCACAATGGTGAATGTTAAACAATGACTATCTTTTCCATGTCTGCAACTGCAGAGGGGCCCAGAGCTGTGGAAAGTATTGGAGGAATGAAGATATTTCCGTAAGAGTGGATTAGAAGATTTCATCCCTTTCTACTTACCTTTGTGAAAGTCGAATGTGGAGATTCTCAAGCTGTTTCTTTCTTAATTTAGGGCTACTGGGTCTAAAGCTGAGAAGAATTGCTCCTGTTCAGTGGATTGGGTTTTATTTGCAGAT